GATCAAGCAAATCATCTATGCGAGGGAGAGGATACTTTTCTTAATGGTAACCTTATTCCAACTGACGGTAATCAGTGCACAATCTCATGCTACCGTCCTTCTTCTTAACAAATATAACTGGTGCTCCCCACGGGGACACACTTGGCCGGATAAACTGCTTAGCCGAAAGCTCTTCAATATGTCTCTCTTTAACTCGGCTAATTCTGGTGGTGACATCCTATACGGAGCCAGAGATAGGCCCCACACCAGGCAATAGATCAATCGTGAACTCAATCTCTCTATGAGGCGGAAGTTGTGGAATTTCATCTGGAAACACATCCACAAACTCCCTCACCACGAAAATAGTGCCAATCTCCTCATGACTTCCGCCTACTAAACCCCCCACAAAGACATATCCCAATGCCCCGGCCCTCAAAGCCTTTCTAACCTGCAACACAGATAGATATGGGGAAGAACTAGTAGCAGAATCATCAGCATCAAGCACAATCCTTTTACCGCAGCAGTCTATCATAGCACAGTTCTTTGACAACCAGTCCATACCCAAGATAACTTGAAGGCTGATCATAGGTAAACAAATAAAATCCAGCACGTAATCTCGGCCTTCATATTTGAATTCAACATCTTTACACAACACGGATGTATAACACTCCTCTCCAGTAGCAGTAACCACTTTCATTGGAGGGCGAATGTCATACATTTGCAAATTTAGCCCAACGGCCATAAAATCAGACATACAGGAGTGTGTAGCTCCTGAATCAAACAATACTTCAACATCCATATTATCAATGTAAATTGTACCTTTCACTAGATTCGGAGCCTTCTCCGATTGTTGACGGTCCATGGTATATACTCTACCAACCGTCTGAGACTCCAGCATAGGTTGAACAACAGAGACCGGAACAGCAGTAGCTTGAACTGCCATAGTCCTTGCTTCGTTCTGAGGACACTGCCTGGAGTAGTGACCGGATCTTCCACATTTAAAGCAAATCACCTCACCAGTAGCACATGGACCCCTATGCTCTTTGCCACATCCCTTGCACTTGGGGGGAGGTCCTCTATCAACAAACTTCTTCTAAGTACCGGGTTTTTTGAACAAGTCAAAGGGCTTATTCGCATTCAGCTTCTTGCCTTGCACCTTCCTGTTCTTCCAATAACCTGAGCCCGTTGCTTTATTGGAACTAGGTGCCTGGGCCTCAGAAGACTTCTTGGTTTGGGACACCTTATACACTTCCTCCACCTTTCTACACTGGTTTACAAACCGACTGAACTCTCGGATGTCACAATTTGACATCTTCCGAGACATCTTCTCATTAAGACCCCATTGGAACTTGGAGGTCATTTCAGCCGGGGTGGGTAAGGCTCGCCCATAGTTGGCGTATTTCACCAACTCATTGAATTTTGAGAAGTATTGGTCAATAGACATCGACCCTTGTTTGAGATCGTTATACTCATTCTGCTTTTGTTCCCTAGCCTCTCTAGGGAAGTAGTTATCCAAGAACAATGTCTCGAATAACCGCCATGTGATCTCCCGACCTTCAGCTTCTAATGGCTGCACGGTATTTGTCCACCAATCTTCTGCTTCCTCTTCTAGCATATAAACAGAGTAAGCCAACTTCATTGCGTCAGGGCACCTCATCACCCTGAATATCTTCTCCATCGCTTGGAGCCATTTTGCAGCCGCCATTGGCTCATAACCTCCCTTAAAAGAAGGAGGTTTATGTTTTGGAAAGCCATCAGTCTCCTTTCCTCCATTTCATGATCACCGACATTTTCAACTTGAGGTTGACGAACCTCAGTGTGATGACTCCGACTTCCGGAGTGGTGACTACCTTCACCCTCATTGTTACCCACTCCACCCTCTTCCTGTGAAGGAGGTGGAGAAGGCGTAGCAGTGTGAGGAGGAGGAGTGGGTTGCCGGTTCACGGGCCTAGGACCCCTCAACGTCCTCAGCTCAGTCATCATTGCGGCCATGGCAGTCCGCGAGTCTTCATTTGTTTTCATCAGATTTTCATTGGCTTGCCTGCTAGCAGCCAACTCCCTCTGAACGGCTGCAAGAGCTTCAGCCACGGGATCAGGCTGTACGCCCGTTGCCCCACGGCCACTTCTAGGCCTCACAAGAGCAGCCAAAACAGGTTCTGGCTGAGCATTGGTGTTTGATGGTCCGGGGTTGTTTCGGTTCCTCGTCATGTCACTACACATGTTACACAAAGAAATGAGTTGATCAGGCCCACACTTAGTGATCACAAATGCAATAATCATACAGAGTACTAAAACAACTATAAAGCATCAAACACTCAGCATACTCAACAATAGCTAACAGTTATTCCCTACGAAACTGCTCTGATACCATAAAATGTAACACCCCGTTCTAGAACCGGTTTGTTAACATCGCATTATGATATTAAGCGCAGTTACAATCACATGGGTTCAATTAAAATCCGGATAAATTTTTCATTTTAAAACGTACCGAACTTATAATACCCAATTTCGTGATCATAACCATATTACCTTGCGGAAACAGATAAATTAAGTTTAACATCATGTTCATTTTCCATTTTTAAACCATTAATTTACTTCTTGTTTAGTTCAATACTTCTACTATATTGTAGGTTTCTTCATTAGCTACATGTGGCTTCAAACCGTGCTCAAATCGGAGCACTGTAGCCCAAGTTAGGACCATTTGAAGCAACACAAGAGAGTGTTGGTCACAGGCCCAGCGCGCTTCAGCGCGCTAAAGCCTCCATCTGGGCGCTTAAGCGCACGGAGGCAGTAAGCATTAGCATTTCCAGTGTGGATGGGCGCTTAAGCGCGCAACAGGGCGCTCAGGCGCGCTAGCCTGGGCGCTCAAGCTCCCACTGGGACGTTTTAGCGCGCAGAGACAGAAGCATTTCCTCCTACAGTGGCTAAGGGCGCTTCAGCGCGGACCAGGGCGCTCAAGCGCGCAACCCTGGGCGCTAAAACACGAGGGGACAGTAAGCATCCCAACTTTCTGCAGAAAAGGGCGCTTAAGCGCCAGCCAGGGCGCTCCAGCGCGCAATCCTGGGCGCTTAAGCCCCCACTTGGGCGCTCCAGCGCGAGGAGGCAGAATGCATTGGCACTCGCAGGGGCAGCAGGGCGCTTGGGCGCGCTCCTGGGCGCGTAAGCGCGCTGCCAGGGAATTCCAATTCCCACATTTCTCAAGTCCAAGCCTAGGGGAAAATGCATCCCCATTACGAACCCCCAAATGTCCATGCCCCAAAACTAAATCCTAGCACTCATCCAACCTCTCCTCATGAGATTTAGCTAGAATTTGGACAGCATGACCTTTGTTTTCTCATCGTTTACCAGTTTAAACGAAGAGGGTACCTAATTGATTTTCAGCCCAACCAATTCAACAACTCAATACATAACAAGCATGCATATATTGAATTCCAAGTAGGCATCATTTACATTACATATCCTTTACAAATCATAGAACTTAGCTTACAAAACACTATGATCATTCCCTTGGCTCCCATCAACAATAGGTGTAACCAAAGGCATGAGCATAGGCTAAGTTCATCCAATGAATCAAGATATACATATGATCATGGGCTTTCAAAATAAAATCCTATACATGTCAACTACAAAAGGCATGCATAAACTCAAAGAAGTGCCATATTTCATGCATAATCCAGATATGGCCACTTGCCACCAGAGGCTCCTGCAGCATCCTTACCTGAAAGGGGGTCCCCACAACACGGGGTGAGATATACGAATATATCCAGTAAACCAGAGGTCCTTGGAGCATCTCTCCACCCCACAGTTCCATATCAGTGTAATAGCAATAACAATAATAATGCAGTAAATACATATCTATGCAAAGTGCACTACATCTCCAGGAGAAATCCCTCGAGCTCTCAAGCTGTCCTAAGGAAACTCAGATGCAAATAGTCCTACTGGCCAGCTAACTACCAAGTATGATTTACGCATCGTCATGCCACATACCAACATAGGGAAACACCATCCTATGCCACACCAAATGCATACACATACGTATAACAAAGCATTACACTATTTTATTGCATTTATATACACTATAATCACCACTACCCTTTCAGGGCTTGGTGGAACAATCAAGGGAATTACACCCAAGGTCCGAAGGCTTACCTCAATGCTTCAGTCGACCTTTGTTCTTCACCAATGTCAACAATACTCTACTCCAAAACCAACACCTACACATGGTGTAATGCAATCAACACATTGCATCCAAGAGTATTTCACAATCAACCATCAATTACTCAATTCAAAACACAACACAAGTATGAGCTTACCAATTCCAATGAGCTATTCAAGCTCCATAGCTTGCTCCAATGGTTGATCACTCACGGTTGGTCCAAATGTCTCAATCCTAAACATCACAAGGATCCAATCAATCATTCAACTCACTAATTGTTCAACATGCTAGAATACTAACCAATCCAAGCATGAATTTTCCAATATTATGAACAATTATCAAATGACTATCTAGGCTCATTTCCACCGATTAAATGACATTCCTAGCATTTTCCATAACATGCTCTAAGCTCCATTCTTCCTAGAACATAGCTAATCCAACTACATTTCATAAAAATCCCAATTTACTATTCACAAACCCTAACTCATGCAAATTTCAAGGAATCATGAGGTTCAAGGGTTAGAATCTTACCACCAATGGTCACACAACCAAGGATTGATGGCTCCTCAAGCTTCAATGGAGGTAGAAACTCTCAAAACCCCAATTTTCACCAAAGGGCCGAATTTTTGAGAGGTAATATCTCTCTCCACAATGCTCCCCACTCAAAACAAAGCAAGGATTATGAAAGAGGGCGAGATTCTAAGCGATTTAGGCTTTTGAATCACCCAAAACCGTTGGGATTAGCTCTCTCTCTCTCTTTCCCTTTTCTTCTTCCCTCTCTTCTCCCTCTCTTCTCTTCTCCTTTCTGGTTCGACGGGTTGGGTGGGAAATGAGGGTCATTTGGTGACTTAAGTCACTTAACATAGGTTAAGTGGCTCTAAGCGGGTATTGGTTCGTCTATCTATTTAACTCCAATAATTACCAAACTTTACCCAAAAGTCTAGAATATTATTCTAGGAATATTACTTTTTTTATTTTTATATTTTGGGTACTTTTGACAGTACCCATTTATACCCCTTAATTTTCACTGAGTACACTTTTTAACTCCAAAGTGACTCAGATTCATTTTATCAAGCCTCATACTTAATTTCACCCAGTAAAACATGTTTAATTAATTAATTACACTTGATTTCCTAATTAATTAATATGGGCTATTATAAGGCGCCTGCCTAGCCGCAAACTGCTTCCCTTTGCCCTTTCCAGCAAACTTCCTGTCTTTCCAGGAAGTGGAACTGCTCGTTCCCTTCGCCTCAGCAATCTTGGCCCTCTTGGCCTTACTCGTCAAATAGACATCCTCGATGTCCCGACACTGTTGCACCAGTGTCCCAAAATCTCTCGAAGCCGCTCCAGCAAGAGGAACAGCTATCTCCTCGCTAAGTCCCCTACGAAACTTAGTAGCCAAAAAGGTCAGAGTAGGCATAGCCATCCGAAAGTGAGCGAACTTAACCAACTCATTAAACTTCGCCAGGTACTCGTCAACAGACAACGAGCCCTGCACCAAACGGTCAAACTCCCCTTGCTTCCTCTCCTGAGCATCATAAGAGAAGTACCGACCCAAAAAGCAATCCTCGAAGAAAGGCCACGTCATCACACGACCCTGCAGCTCAAAAGTGTGAGAGGTGTTCATCCACCACTCATGGGCATCGCCCTCCAGCATATACGTGGCGAACATCAACTTCTGCGGATCAGTACACTGCATGACCCGGAAGATCTTGTCCAACGCCTGTAGCCATCTCGCCGCAGCAATAGGATTATAAGACCCATCAAAAGAAGGTGGCTTATGCTTGCGGAAAGCATTAAGCCGGCGGTCTAACACATCGCGATCCTCAGCAGGCCCCACATAGGGTTCCATCACCCCAGAGATGTGACCAGTGCCCTCAACATGGCTCTGGCTCTCGTCTTGCAGACTAGGTGGAGGTGGAGGTGGTGGTGGCGGTGGAGGTGGTGGCGGAGGGAACTGTCCAGCAGCAGGACCAACCCTCATCTCCTCAAACATGACCCTCATCATGGTCATGTTCGCCAGGCGGTTCGCCTCCAAAACATCCTCAGTGGCTTTCCTTTTCGCCTCTCTGACGGCGTCCAGTATAGCCTGGTTTGCCATTCTCATGGCCTCCTGGTCGGCTAGTCGAGCCGCCTGTATATCAGCTAATGCAGCCAGGACAGGATCAGGTTGATCCTCGCTAGTGTCTCGGTTCCTCCGAGGTTGCACCATGACTCTGCACAAGTTACACAAAGAATGAGTTGATCAGGCCCACGCAATGTGGTTACATATGCATCATCATAGTAAAACCAAATAGAGAGAACACACAGACACGACTCACAACAAAACATCCTAAGTTATTGCAATACATACATGTTTTCTCCTAGAAAGTGCTCTGATACCATAAAATGTAACATCTCGTGTATACCCGGTTTGTTAACATGTCATCGTATTAAGCCACGCTTAATTAAAAATGCGGAATATCTTTTTCTTTTCAATTATGACGTCATTATCCTTACCAAGTTGAATTACTTAATTCATTTCAAAACATTTTCTGTATGTAAATTGCAAAGGACAGCTAATTGAAATACCTCATTAAATTAAACAACTGAAAGTGGGTCTCTAATCACAGAGCTACAACACATAGACCGGACAGATCCTGATAGTTTGTACAACTCAAATAAACTTAAACATCGTCAAATCAATGTGGCATGGACAATCCCCATGCTCATCAAATAAACAGCATACTTATCAAGTCTCAATACAAACAACATGGTAGTGGAAAAAGCACAAAAACAAGCAGGTGCATCAGCATAAACAGCAAACATGATAATCAACTAATTTTCGCCTCCTGCCGCTAGAGGTCTCGGCCCCTGGGATACCTGAACCTGAAATAAGCGCCCCAAATGTGGGGTGAGATCTCTAAACAGAAATCTCAGTAAGGCAAGGGGTCCTCAAGGATCTTCCACCCCAAGCTCACTTACATGTGCAATATCAGTTCAAAAACATTTTAACAGTATAAGTTCCAAAATAGTGCAATGCAGCAGATAATCATGTCATGTGTGTCAAAACTAATCTACTGGCCAGAGAAATGCAGGAATACGTCTATTACTCACACTAGTGCAAGACGCCACTTGCACCCACCCACAGTGTCACCGTATTGTATGACGCCACATACTCAGGCTAATCGTCTAAGTGGAACAACACATACATATTAAAAGCCCTTGCACATACAGCTTAACAACATTTTCCAATTATCAAAGCATGTAAACACATCATACATATAAACCATTCCCCTATAGGGTATGGTGGAACCACACAATGGCTAAACCGAGGACACGAAAGCTTACCTTGCAAGCTAACTATCCAATGTCAAGAGTCCACACAAGCTCAAAGTCCACACGCAGCAAAATCACAATCTGTTTTGGACCAGCAATCATATCAACAACCATAGCTCAAAAACATATACATAAAGACAACGCTTCTCTTTTACGTTTCATGTCTTAAAGCTTCTCACAAAGCCACAAGCCCTTAATCACTTGATTCTGACTTAGTTTAATTATTACGGAAGTCCCACTTCATCAAACTAGGGTCCACAAACCCACAACATAGTTCTGTATGAACAGTACAGACACTGTCTTGAAATTCCCAGAATATCCAGATATTTGTCGAGGACATATCTGGATATTATATCCCGATATCCATATTCGGATATCACAAGACCCCATATCCGGATATCATATTTGGGTATCCATATCCGGATATTTCGCGACAGAATGCAGTTCTGCATTTCGCGAGATATCCTTCCCAAAGGTTCGACTTTACCAATTACATAAGCTTAAACACGCATTTCTAGGTGTATTTAACCTTACCCAACCTTAAGTTATTATCTTTTGCTCATTACATGCATCAAGGCTTCATTTTTAACTAAGAAAACTCAAGTTCAAGGGTGGTAAGGCTTACCCAAGCTTAAAACAGAGCAAGGAGTGCTCTTGGAGCTCACCAAATAGCTCCAAAGATTCAGACTATGAAGTGCGCGAAAATGGCACACCAAAAAGGGTTCTTTCTCACCAAAGATCACTCCTTGAAGCTCAAAATTCAATAACCAAAGCTCACTCACCCCTCACCAAGGAGTCAGCACCTCAACACAGAGAAAACAACACTCTCAACTCAGAATGGCTGACCCACACCCTCACAAGACACTCAACCAAGTGTTTACAAGGATTAGAATGAAGGAATCAAGCCAAAAGATGACAACTTGGTGGTTTTCCAAAGGGAGGAAGGCAAGAACAGTGAGGAGGCTGATCACAGCTCCAAAGGCTCACGTAGAATCAGATTATGGCCTAGGGTTATGTGCCAAAAGTTGTATTTATAGCTGGTTTAAACTTAAACGCATTGTATTAACTCTAATTGCTACGCTTAGCAATTTAGTCCCAAACTTAGGATTCTGAACCTACTCATTTTTCTAAGATTTGTCATATTTTTATTCTATTTTTCGCAACACCTTTCCTGTATGCGCTTTTCCATAGCCAGTATCAGTTTTGGCATCAGTTCTGGCATCAGTTCTCATTATTTTAACTTGAAACTTGAAATCACAGTCCTACATATTATTCTAGGAATATTCATGCACTTATTATAATATTCCGGGATACTTCATCGGTACACATTTATACCGAGTAGCAGAACCGGTATCTGCACTTTTCGTCAGAAAAGCGACTTTCAGTATTATTAATCACTTACCATAATTATTTAAGCCTCATAATAATTATCAGGATCAATTATGGAATTATTTTCTAATTTCTCATGATTAATTAATTAACTTCCTTAATTAACGGTGCAGGTTCTTACAGTCATCCCTTGGGAATGACTGTGTACGTCTCTGATAAGATATGTTTTGGTTCTGATGTGATTATTGTGTTGATTTTCGTAAATGAATTTATGTGCGTTGATTTCCACTTGGGGTCCTCCCTTGGGAAATACTGCGTGCATCTCTGATAAGATATGTATATATGCTCAGTTTAGTTATGATATTTGTTACGTGCGTTGATTTTCGCTTGGGGTCCTCCCTTGGGAAATACTGCGTGCATCTTTGATAAGATATGTGTATATGCTTGTTCAGCTATGATATTTGCTTATATGATGTTTTGTATATTATGTATCTGACTGTCATGCAGGAAGTGAGACCAGGGTATGGAGAGTTTTCCATAAACCTGGAGCTTACTAGAGATTCGTCTCGATCTAACCCCATTTGGGGATATGATTTCAAGAACACAGTTAATTGAAGAGCCCTCACGGGACAAGGACACTACCCGTGGCTAGAGGTACTAGTATGAGGATATCGAGTTCTGGGCGGCCGGACGCTACTATTTATTATAGATGTCATTTTTGGAGAATATGTACTATTATATAGTGTTCTATCCATTTTGGGATCATGATGTTTGATCCATTATACAATATATGGTCCGTATATGTTTTGTACATGTGTTCGTATTTGATGCATGTACATTTGTGTATTCAGATATGTGCATGTGCTGAAAAATGTATGATGTTAGACATAGTGGCACGGAGCCAGTTATGCATGCACTCATGGATGGGTATATAGTCCTATATAGATATCTAGTATTTTTGAAATAATACATGGTATAAACTGTTTATCAGGAACCTTTGAGA